GGTGTGGGTGTGGGTGTGGGTGTGAGTGTGGGTGTGGGTGGGGGGTGGGGGTGTGGGTGTGGGTGTGAGTATGAAAAGAGAAGATCAACACTCACACCCCACACCCACACCAACACCCACACCCATACCCTTATGACTTTTATTCTAGTCATACCTACATAATCATGTTTATGTGTTGTTTCATCAGTCACCAGGCTCATGAATCTCGTCGTCTGTTACACAATTGTTAGTGCCAACTCATATGAGATGGTAACGTGTTAAAATGAACATTACGAAAGAGAACTCTTGGGTTTTCTTAATTAAATAAAATAGTGCCTATATTTATTATGTTCATCGACAAAGTAAACAGAAAAGAGATATTAAAAATAAAAAAACTACTGCGTTTCTGAAAACTCTACTGCTAATGTTTCTAGGTACACTAGGTTGTTGGCTGCATGTGTCATTAGCTGTCTGATTGATATAGTGCCAGGACAACATATGGCTTTTATCCATTGTCAATTTCAATCCTGTTACATTAAAGATTTGCCTCGAAAATATACCATTGAGGGGCATTGGTTTGTCATTAATAGTGAAAGTTATTGGTATTGTATCCAATCCATAGATCGTTAACGAATCTAGTATTAAATTTGACATATGAGCATAGTTGTTTTCAACGACATTAATCTTCAATTGTCGATCGTAGGAAGACCATCGAAATGTCGCATAATAGTAGGATTTTGATTGAATAGTATCAATTGATTCACCATCATCATAGAATAGTTCACCTTCGGCATTTCCACTAACATTCAATACAATGATTAAACCAAATGGTTTCTCTCTAATATTAATACAAAGACAAATTTAAGAGGATAATAGACGATTGGATCTCTCTCTCTGTTATGACTCACCGAGAATATTTTGTATTGTTTGCTGGTTCTTGAGTGGGAATAATAGCACCACTTCGTAGAAAAATTGGAGTCATCTTCAAAGGTGCATCCAATGTAATAAATTGTTTTTCAGCATGTATTCGAACACCTGTATAGTAATCATACCAATCAGATGAAGGAAAATATGCTTGAACTTGTCGAGCACCATCATCAGTTACTGGTACCAACATGATATATGGTCCAATGAGAAATTGTAAGAAGATATCGAGTGTATTATTATCTGTAGGATATTCATGAAATAATGGACGAATGACTGTCGAACCTTGAGTATGAGCTTTGTAGAAGAGTGTATAATAGTAAGGAAGAAGAGTATAACGAATACGAAGAACTAAAGCCATAATAGCTGCGCCTGATGAAGACCATGAAGCTGGATCTTGATCACGTGTCTTCCATATATTATGCTAAATAATCAATGAAAACTAAAGTCATAGAAATTGAAAATAAGATTTTGTGAGTTTACATTACGAGAGAATGGATAGAAAGCACCGACTTGCATCCACCTACATCAATAAAAAATAAAATTGTTAAAAGTAGAGCGAGACAATTTGTCCGGATATCGTTCTTTTACCGTATACACATTTCTTCGGTTGGTGACTTATCAAAACCACATATATCTGCACCAATGAATGGAATGCCGAACCAATTGAATTCTATCATTCCAATCAATGATTGTTTCATTTCAGACCATGAAGCTTCATTATCACCTAGCCAATGACCACCCCATTGACCCGAACCAACAAAAGTCGATCGAGGTAATACCATACTTCGTTTACCAGTAGCCGACTGTATGGCATCTACTGTAGGCTTCGTTTGAGACCATCCATATAGACTAGGAGAAGAAAAAATGTATTCTAGCATAGCAATTAAATCTTTACCTGTGTACATCATAATGACGATATTTGGGTTTTCCAGTATTATGATCAATCTCACCTTGCATAGCAGTCATGCATAATGTACGATCAGAAAGACGACCGATTCGATTCATCGTTTCATCGTAACGAAATGCGGCTTTAGTACGATAAGGTGGATCGTCTAATTTGCTTTGCGGGCATTTCAATGTATAATTTGTACCTATCAAATTCCAATTCCAAGGAAAATCATCATTCGTACCGAACAATGCTATACAAAATAATTTTCAATATATACATACATACAGATTACCGAGACACTATTTACCTGGTTCGTTCATATCAATCCAAAGTCCATCAACTGTCAAATTAATGCGATGAAAATTTTTGATCCAGCGTGTCCACCATATTCGAGTTCGATTCGTGAAAAAATCTATTATTTAAAAGTAAGACATACAGTAGCGGACAAAAGTTTCCATCCATTTAGAACTTCACTAGATGCTTTGATCAACTGGCAATTATTCCACTGTTAAGAAGCTCACATTAAATCCTGATCATGAATACCGTTTAAAATTAGTTGGATTTTCATTAGCTCGAGAAATCCGATCACTTACGATATGCTGAAGAAAATATTTTCTTTCCTTATAACTTTGTCAAATGCACCGATGAATTGGTAACTGTTTAACTAGATAGAAGCATACCATTCTACCTTGATCAGCAACCTATGTTGAAATCATTCTAACTCTTAGTAACATAATAATCGCAATTGCCAATGATATATAGTGGGCAATTTTCTAAAAAGGCCATATTTATCTTTTCGTCTTTTCAAGAACAGAGCGTTACCATACATCGTTTGATGTATGATTCAACAATTGCCAGTTAATCAAGGCGTCTGATAAAGTTCTAAGTGCGTGGAGACTTTTGTTCGTTATTGTATGTATTTCATTAATCTTTTTCTTTTGATAGATTAAGATTTACCTGGCATAAAGAGTTCACCTGGCCAACAAGTGCCTTTCATTAATCTTCCATCTTCCCATTTGATGAAAACATCTTCTTTAATACCTTCAATTGTTGGTGCATAGTACTTTTGATCATCGAATGAACCGGGATCGAGAATCGCAATGGTTCTCATTCCATCAGTGCGTAATTGAGAAAAGAATTCTTTCAAACCCTGATAATGAGTTGGATCGATGGTAAATACTTTCTCTGCATCCATATAATCGATATCAGCGTATTGAACATCAAGTGGAATATCTGCATCTCGATTTCGTTTATTCACCATTTTCATATATGTCAAATTTCCATAATCAAATCGAGACAGATGAAAACCAAGTCCCCAATATGGTGGTAAAAACGATCGACCAATAAGCCATGTATATTGCTGAATGACTTGTTCGGGTGAAGGACCAAGAAAAACGAAAAAATCGAGAATACCACCAATGGTTCGAATAGTTAATGATGGCTCCGGTCCAAACGAATAATCCATGGCATTTGAATTGAGCAGTAGAACACCATGCATTTGACCTGATGTAATTTGATTCAACTTCGATATTTGTTCCATCACAAGATAAAATGGATGAGTACCGTAGTGATTTGCATTCGTATTCCAGTTTATCGCTAAAATAATTCCAACGAATGATCGTAAACAATTAAGATCTTTTGTTGTATATGACTAACCTTGATCTCGGGCGAAAATACCCCATATTTTACGCTGTGTAACATTGTGTTTAAGTGTCTCATGATTATTTTCTCCAAAACCATAGACATGAGATGATTGAAGACGAGTGACAATTTGCAGAAACTGATTATTCAGAACAAGACCACCTATTGATGTATCGATGAGACTGGCCGAATTATCACGACGTTTGACACCAAACGAAAACAGATTATCACGAGCGTTATCCGTAGAATAAATGAATTCATATAGTGGAGATGACGCTCTGCCAGGCGAGGGTGTTAATGAAATTGGAACCTAAATAAAAAAAGAAAATAATAATCTAATATAATGAATATAGCTTTTTTGTCAGTCATACTTCATATCGTTGATAATCGGCATCGTACAATTTAAATCTGAGTATCTCATTAGTATAGTATTGAACATCGAGTAGAACATTTTCAATCGGTTCTGGAAATGGACTTGCTGTGAGTTGATTTCGTCGTAAACGTAATCTTATTCCAGTGGTTGTTTCTTGTACATCTGATTGTAATAGATAACCATAAGTAGGTTGTAGATAACATTGAATTACATTTGAAATTGCACTATCATCAAAGAGACAATGACGAGCGAGACAAGCATCTTTTGAAAAATGTGAATATTTTGCTTCAGCGTCCGGATAGCAATCGATTCGCTCGATTGTTGTTGTTGCTTGACGTTGGTCATGACTAGGACTACTAATACTGGAGACGATTAGAATGACGAATGTAGTGATAATAACGAAATAGTTTTGAGTTCTCATTGATCAATACCTAAAAAAAAGAAAAAGCTTCACTTCAGTAGAAGCAGAATTAACATCTTTATCTTTTATTTGTGCGTGTATATGAAAAACGGTGAGCTAAAAGAGATCTGAATCTAATAGTCAGTGTTTTATTCAGCAAGATGTCGTTTTCTTTTTTTTAACAATGGTTCTTGATTGAAAGGAAATGTGAATGATTGAAATATTCTATCAATGCCGTCACATGTCCATATTCTATGCAAAAGTGCACCTCAAAAGGTGAAATACAGATGATAAATAAGCAAATAATAATTGACTAAAACAATCATAAGAGACTTTGATCACAATCAACTATGAAAGGACATTCTTATCTGCGTGTGTTGCTTTGTTATTTAAAAAAGTTTAATACATCTTGATTCGATCAAAACATTAATCACGTAATGTTATTTATAATACACATGTAGATATTTTACGTTTTTTACTGTATGGCGCACACATTAATAAAGCAGCAAGGAATTTCAATACTATTGAGTTATTGCAAAATGTTAATCTATGATTCATGATAAACTATAACGACAAATGAAAAGACATATGTGCCTATTCCATTTGACAAAATATTCATTCGGCTATACTTTATACTCAGGTGCATCTATTTCTTGATCGGTACAGAGCGATGGATCATCAGTTAAACGAAATATATAGAGAGGATAGCACACATGAATGGAAGACAAACGATCAATAATCTTTGTAGAAAGCATAAAATGGAATTTTTCAACTATTTGAGAATTTCTCGTTCTTATCTATTCGAATTTTTTTTATATCTGATTTTCGTATATCGTGAACAGGGGTGTGGGTGTGGGGTGTGGGTGTGGATGTGGGTGTGGGTGGTGTGGGTGTGCGTGTGGGTGTGGGTGTGGGTGGGTGTGGGTGGGTGTGGGTGGGTGTGGGTGTGGGTGTTGGTGTGGATGTGGGTGTGGGTGTGGGTGTGGGTGGGTGTGGGTGGGTGTGGGTGTTGGTGTGGATGTGGGTGTGGGTGTGGGTGTGGGTGTGGGTGTGAGTGTGGAGTGGGCGTGTGGGTGTGAGTCTTCAGTTCAACTGTCCCCATACCATCATCCATCCTACACCCCACACCCACACCCACATCCACATCCACACACCCATACCCACACTCATACGCGCACCCATACCCACACCCTCAAATAAAGATGAAAATATGTTTAGATTTGCAAAAACAATGGCAAAACTTC